CACGCCCTTTGAACTCTCTCAGTAGGTTGAAATAGTTCTTGATCAGATGGTTTTTCAAGTGCCTTTTGTCTTTCCAGGCTCCGAAGAAGGTGAAGGCACCGAAACGTCAGCCTAATAAACATTGTTGCAATCTCGGCACATGGACAACCTAAGATAGTTGTTACTCACCCCTCATTCAACAGTTAAAACTTCGAAAACGTTTCCCTCGACACAGTGTTTCTAAACAGGTACGATAACCATAAACACTCATAACCCACCTAACCGTAACGGTTGACCGGTCTTTAAGTCGACCACCGCCAAACTGACTCACAGGGACATGGGGGTGGCTTTGGATGCTATGCCCTCTCCTTCTCGCCGTAATACCGCGGGTAAATCCAACCCAACGTGGTTAGCGAAAGGCACGAATTCGCTAGCTTTGGTTGGCAGCTCGTCCTTCCAATTTATTTTTGGGGACCCAGGCTGATGGAGAATGCTTCAAGTGCCTTCTGCACCGAAGTGAGGGGTTCTCGCAACAGAATCTTAAAGGCACAGTGCACGATAATTCCCTGTTGCTGGCTCGCGGGGCTTTCCCACCCCTCGATCGATGTCACGCCAGACGAGTGACGAGACGATACAGATTGAAATTATTCGTTCTAGGACTCACACACAAACAGCTGATCGCCGAGTGAGGAGGCTGTGTTTTTCTTCCATACTTTTTTCTTCTGCTATTCTGCTACGATCCCTTTTTAATTTCCTACTCCTTGAGGCTGAAAAAGTTGAGCTACTTTTGCTGTTACTGGGTTTTTTTTTGTCCACGTATGCTTATGAGTGAATGAATTTTTGCTTTCCGCAGTCAGTTATTTGCACCAGGACCCACACTCACGCAATAACCCACATTGTGTAAAAACGCCCCACCCCTCTTCATTTTTCTGGTCTCATTCTCGTCCATCCCCCTTTTTAACGATTTTTCGAAGGCTTCGTTCGCTTTGGAAACACCGATCCACGCGGTTCCTTCGCCTCTATCGCACTGTTTTCCATCTTTTCTTCCTCCTTCGCCTCTATCGCACTGTTTTCCATCTTTTCTTCCATTTTTTGTCATAATCTGGGTTACTCGGAACTGTGCCCTTGAGTATCTTCACTGTTTCGGTGTGCTGCACACAAAAATTAGTGCACTAGGGGAAATTCATGGCTCCTGATCCTGTGCACCCAGAGTTGAAATTCAATGGGGATACATGCAGTAGGGTGGGGGTACTGATGATATCTGACAGGACTGGACTACGCCCTAGTGGGCGGGGTGTGCATGTGAAAGACTGCCCGACTTACTATTTCTGTTCTTCGGGTCGAGAGCGTTTGAATTTGACAAGTAGCTGGTTGGACACACTGGCTGGCAGGACTGGACTCCGCCTAGGGCAGGGACTGAGAGAGTGGACTCAAAGCAACCTCACAAAAAGAACTAAATTATGTCTTGGACAGTAGCCATCACAACCGGAAAAATAAAGAAAATCATTGTTGCAAAAGAATTACCCATAACAATGAGAATGAATTAGTAAAGTGAAGATGAATTTACGTAAGAGACTGTAATTTAAGATCTGTCAAGTCGGAACCATGTCAAGGTCTGGGTGTTGAAAATCTTTAGCGAGAGGGAAGAGAGTCGGATGATCGAGATTATATGTAGATGTAGAATGACTGGCACATAATCTTCCAATGATGAGGAAAAGTTATGTTACAAATACAGTACAAATGCACGGTGGCTCAATAGTCATCACCATTACCATAATCCCGCTTTAACCAACCCGACATGTTGTCGACTCCATCCATTTCCGTAAGAAGTTGGTTAACGACTCGATCCGTTACTCCACTTGAATCAGATCCTCGTTGTGGCGCGATGGAGTCGAATTCATCAAAAATTATGACGCATGGTGCAGAGGCGCGGGCTCTGGCATGATAAAGAGATGAGTAGAAATACGTGATCATACGAACACAAAAGCGTTTCACTAATATCATTCCGTAAAGAACAAAACATACCTTTCAAATACTTTTCGAACATTGCCTTCGCTTGATCCAACGAATTTTGACAGAAGTTCAGGTCCCTAAATTAAATCTATAAACTATATCTCTACTCCATCTTGGAACTCCTTCACTGAACGTTTCCTTTTACTGAAGGATCTCTTGCCTGTACGCATGGGAACATTGTGGAACCAGTTAAACATCGCACACTAACGTGTTGCGCTTCAACAAAGAATGCACCAAATTAATATGATCTGAGTTCCTCTCATTAATAATCTAACTACAGGCAGTGGTAAACTAAAAGTTTATTCAAAAAAAAAATTGAAGATGCTCAGCTCACCGCTGGTTTTCATCGTCTAATTTGTTAACCCATTCTCAACCTTTGCACGTGTTTCCCTGCAGTCTGGGCTTTTCTAAAACAAAGTCATGACGTCTTCTTCATCGGCTGCATGTCAGCAGCTGCGAGCGGGATTCCCTGAGCTCATACGATGGTTACCTTTATTATTTCGGGATTGGGCAACCCTAGTGTTGCAATCTGGCAACTGACAACACTGTCGTGAACTTTGACATTTTTGAGGTTATACGTACTCAGAACGTTTTAACATGGGCGCTACGCGCTACTTAATTTGCTTACACTGATTACAAGATTCACTGAGCCAAAAATGGGATTAAATCGCGATTATATTCGTGCGATTATTTTTTACAACTTTCTTTTCAACAACCTTTTTGGCGACAAAGCTCCATCAAAGACCAGTGTTTATCGATGGTATGGTGAATTTAACCGAGGTCGCAGTTCACTCCAAGACGAATTTCGTGGAGGTTATCCAAAATCAATTGTCATTCTGGAAAGCATTGATGCTGTGCGCAAACTAATATTGTAAGATCGCCATGTGATCCGTCGTGTGATTGAGCTAACCTTAGGCATTAGTGGGAGCAGCATACATTTAATACATATTGCATGAACATTTGACTGCCAAAAAAATTTGTTTGCGTTTGATCCCACATAGTTTTTCGGTCGCTCTAAAAAAGGCTCGGGTCGAATGGTCGGAAGAAATGCTCAAAAACATCGAATTGATGAGTCATCCGCCATATAGTCCTGACTTGGCGCCGAATTACTCCTTATACCCGTATGTAAAAATTAAAACGAGAGATCAACGTAATTCGAACCTGAACAAGCGATTGATGCTTTCAGAATGCATGTTTTGGAGAAATCTCAGTCAGAGTGGCAAAAGTGCTTCGACATTAGGTTTAAACGCATGCCAATAAAACGATTTTCAACGATTAATATTTATTTATGTTCTCTCATCCCGAAATATAAAAGGCAACCTACGTATGGGCTCTGGAGATCTTGCACTAGATCACACCCATCCAAAAATTTGCCCGTTATTAAGACAGACTGAAATAGAAAGCTACGAATTGCCTGAGATAGTGAGCTAAAGAAAGTCTTTGGACAGAGTTGTGCATTTTTGATCTTAGTCATTCCTACCTCAGTGCGAGTCCCGTCCACCGTGATAGTTTGACAACCCTTCCTTCAGCGACTAGTAACCATTTAACCATTTAACCACTAGGAAGTTTCCGACAGAGTTATCAATTTTTAATCTCTCGCACACCTTAGTGCGAGTCCAGCTTACTTTGTGAATTTGACCACATCTCTTTTNTAAGCTTTACCCACTTCTCTCCCGCTCTCTAGAACGGTTTTGCACGGAGTTATGATTTTCTGATCTTAGCTCCGTCCATCTAAGACTCGTCCTTAAAACCTCGTCCTTTTTGGGTGCTTCTAGAACCTCCACCCACTTTTTTCCCAGCTTCAGAACGTTCTTAAACATAGTTATAAATATTTAATCTCAGCCCCGCCCACCTTGGTACGAACCAGGCCCACTTTGGGGATTTAACTACTTTTGACAACGGGGTTTTTTTCTATAACCTCTTTCCGCGCTTTCGAACGTTTTTGAACAGTTGGATTTTTTAGCCCAGCCCACCCTAGTAGAATCTCGCAAGCCTTGGGAAACTGACAATATTTCCTATATGACATCAAACCTCATTCTTCTGCGCTCTGGAGCGTTTCTAAACAGAGTTATATTTATTCTTGAGAAGTTGCTCTAATTTTAAAGAACACCTCGCCCATCGTGGGAGGAACTTCGCTAAGTTCATGCCCAGCACGGATAAGGCTCTGCTAACTCCCTTTATTTTTTGGCCAGCCTCCACACCAGTTATGAATCGAGTTATGAACTTATGTTGAAAGTGTCGTCCACTGTGGAAACGCTACGCCCGTCGCCGGTGAGCCTCCTTCATTTTACTTGTTGACTCATCCCTCACTTTTGCTCTTTTCCCGCCATTTGGGCTGAGATGAGATGAAATTAGTTTTTGCCTATGGCACCCCCCCCCCAACGCCGCCGCCCGCATTTCNCCCCTCCCTCTCCTTGCTCTTCATTGAGCTTTGCTAGGCTAACATATGCTCTGTTGTCCTCAGGTGCGACCTCCTCAGGTAGGTTTTAACGTAATATCGAATTTCGTGATAGACAGGCAGACAGACAGAAAGATGCTAGAGAGCGCGTAATACATGGTATTGACCAGTCGGATCGCCCGGATAACGACGGGCTCTCTTTTTTTATGTTAGGCTTGACCCGCCATCTGCATCTCCCAAATTTAAAATCCCTTGTCCAGGAAAACAGGAGCTATCGATTTCCAGCGAAACACACACATACCGACACGGTTCGTACGTTGAATGCATTCCCTCTTACCCTAACTTGACTGCGTGCTTTCTTTCGAAGTCCGCTCATTTCACGCACGGTCCGCCCTTTACATCCCTCCTATGCCTCCGCGGGCTGGATCTAGTTTAGTTACTTTCTACTACCTACCGCCTGCCCTCAAACCAAATTTGAACGCTCCAGGTCCAAATTGGCAATTTCCGCCTAAGACCCGCCTCCTGTGCGCGAGGACACATCATGCCACATCCTATCAACATTCCCATAGTCGTCTTTACTTCTAGCGAATTTGAGTGTCTCAAGTTTAAACTGCCTATTTTCACACGCGCCCGCCCGAAGCCAGTCCTGCCAATACATCCGGGTTGCGTAGTCCGGGCTCACCACCCACCCATATGTGTTTCCATCCTGTCCCAGTATTCCAGCCAAATTTAAACACTCTGGGTCCAGGAGTTATGATTTTCCGTTCAGACCCCGCTCATTGTGGGCGGAGACTGAGCGGAGAATCATAGCGGACCACCATAAGTGTTCTCTTGCTGCCTTCACTACTTCCATCAAATTTGAACGCTCCAGGTCCACGGGAACAGGAGCCAGGAACCCCTCCCACTGGCCCACTGTGGGCGGAGCTCAGTCCTGTCACCCAACACAAAGATTCACTTCCTGCCGTCTATGCTCGTACCAAATTTGAGCGTGCTAGGTCCACGGGGACAGGAGTTATGAATTTCTGCTCAATTCCCGCTCACTGTGGGCGGGGTCTGGTTTTGCTATCCACCATGATCTCATTCCGCCGCCTATACTCCTTCCAACTTTGAACTTTCCAGTTCCGTGGTAAAGGAGATATGATTTTTCAAAATGTTTTCATTAAGCATTGCATTTTTGGAGAACGCCCCGTCCGTCGGGGTGGGTCTCCCTATTTCGATCTAACTTACCAATGCACACCTCTAACCACCTTTACACCCCAGTTTTGAAGCGGTCTTGCGACTGAATTTGAAATCATACTCCTCAGCACAGCTCATTTCAACGACACGCCCACTGGGGGCGGCACTCCGCCGAGCTGATGTGTGCTTTATACGTCTCGAGACATGACCGACTCATCACACGCTTGAAGGGGGGTGTGGAATGCAGGGTGCGCCATAAATATGGTAACACTACTTCGGACGTTCGTAACTTTCTTGTTTGGAGGGTTCCTGCAAATCTGCACTTCCCTTTATGAGTATGATATACCTTGGCCCACATATATACTTTGGTACACTCAATTCCTCAGATTTCTAGAAAGGAGCCTCGCAGACATCTGCCGACCGTTCCGTCTTTGCGGGCGTTTCGTGATTCTTTCCGGGTTCGTTCCTCGTTTCAACATTTCCCACACGACAGTCTCTTGAACAGCTTGGCGTAGAGAGCGCAATGAGAAACTTCAGTACGGTCGTCTTGTCTCACATACGACCCCTTTTCCGAATACAATTGCTTGGGGAGAAGTACGCTGCGGAACCTGCAGAAACACAAGGAAAATGACTGCTGATTTGTTTCTATGTTCTAATCCGATGGGGAGAGTCTACCCAGAGTAAATACAATTGTATCCAAATAAGATTCGGAAGCCTTATGAGTTTTTTGACAAGAAGAAGTTGAAGAGTAAAAACAAATGTCGTGCGCTACCTGCGCGCAGCACGCGCTTTTTTTCTGACTAGCGGGTGTTCAGCGTGGAAGAAATGTCAAGATCTCACAGTATACGTCTATTTCACACGACGAGTGCTGAACCGTTGAGGAGAGTCAAGTCGCTTCGCAAAGCCATTCTTTCTTCTTGATGATAGTATGGGATAGAATCTCCACCACCTGAGGGATATCGCAAATTTAGGTCGAGGAAAGTACAAAATTTATTCCAAACCTCATTAAGAAGGGGTTTTCTGAAAGGAAGCAGCTGAGGGTCAAAGATTTTTCTAGGGATCCGGTTTGGAAACTATGGCACTCGTTCACGAATGGGAAAAGAGAGAGACGGGTGCTGAAAAATGCTCGCGACCATATCCGACCTTCCAATCCTTTTACGAATTTTCCGGACCACAATTAATGGGTAGGTGAATATAGCCCACACTGGAAAGGAAAACCTGCGCTTCAAACGCACTACTGTTGATTCTCCTGAGAGATCATTGAAAAAAGTCCGGGCTAGTGTTTCTCAAGAAACTCTGCGTGCCACGGTCGATGAGTAGCCGTCTTCGAGCTATAATTAGTGCAGGAGATGGTTATATAAGATGACCGTGCGTTCGTTTCGTAGATGCGATGCATAGTAAATAGTTCACATAAATCCACTATGTATCAATATGAACTGCTGTTTCTGTAGCCAAATTATTTTGTTACTATATTTATGGCGCACTCTGCATATACATATAAACCAGTCGGTCATTTGACTTACCTTGTTGAATAGACATACATAGCACAGTGCCAGTATAGACACAGCTTTTAAGTACCTACTTCACTCCAGATTTCTCACTACTCTCCGCAGTACTTATTCTGCTCCACTAACCTATCCACCGATTTACTGCATTATATAAGAAGGAAAAGTAGGATGGAGCTACGATTTCCATGTCACTACCTAAACCGTACTCATAAAGGTTTACGGACGGACAGACAGACACACCAACAAACACACAAACCGACAAACCGACACCCCAACTTACTGCTTAGTAGACAAGAGAGCTATATATCCAAAGTTACAATTTCTTACAACTTCTTCTCCATCACTGCACCACAACCACACGACCCTGCTATCGGGGGGAAAACGCCTCAAATGACCATAGCCAGATGCTTCCGGCATTTGCTTATCTTTGCAAAGCATACAACAGTAGAGCTTATTTTTTGTTCAGCAGAATAGTCACAGGAATTTCCTATTTTTTGATGCTATTGTGGAATGTCATATTAACGCCTACATACCTCATTCACCTCTCGGCTCCGAAAAAACTTTAAAGATAGCCAACGTCTTGCACCACTAATCGATATTGATCGCCTAATCAAGACTTATATGAGGTTGATTGATTAATCAATTCGGGTCAATACATTAGTAGCGATGCTTTCATTGAACCTTCTCAATTGCTTTGAAGTTGGACGGGTTCGAGGTTCAACGCTCTACTGTACCCTCTACCCTCTGCTCGCAACAAACATTGTCGTTGTCGACTGGATTATATCGACCGCTACCATTTCAACGTATTTCCTATTCTTGGATTCCTACCCATAAACTGCTTTGATCTGAAGGGAGCGAAACCGTAAAAACTCAGGCAAGTACACAAAAAAATGATTTTGATCGGTATCAATTGGTCGACATTGAACAGAATCCCTGTGGCGACCTTCGCTTCATACCTTCTCGATTCCCGGAAATTAGAGCGCTCTGCGTCTGTAAGGATGAAACTGTGAAAACCACTTCAAACAGACAGCGAAACGATATTCATCGGTATCGATTGACTCATATCGATCGGTATCCCTGCGACGAATTTTTCGATTTTTTTT